CACAAATTTTGGTGAATTGATTTTATACCAAAACATTCTTTAAATTAAAACAAAACCCAATTATATAAATTTTTAATCATAAAAATTTTTTGCGCTTTCAAGTGCGGATCAAAATCTAGTTTATTCTATTATAGAAGGGAAATTGGATTATGATATAAGCATTTGTTACTCCAAAATGAAATTTGGAAATTGGAGTAACAAAATAAAGTGCAATTGAAATCTTGAAGATGCTCTTATACCACCGCATGCAATTTGTTATAATCTATTGAATCATCGACACGGTCAAACGTTCTTTAATTTACTTTTCCTGTTTCCAACTGCATTAGTTAGTCAATTCTACATACATTGAAACTCATTAACTATTAGCATGACCAAAAGTCAAGACATGTCCTCCAATATAAGTTGGTGAATTTTAGTTTGGTTTGGTCTAAAATAATCTAAACCGATCCGGTTATAAAAAATAAATTCGATTAAAGAAGTCTAAATTCACCTCGGTTTGTTAAGGCTTAAGGGCCTGTATTGGGTTAGCTAAGATAAGCTAACATTAGGCCCATCTGTTTATAACCTCAACACTACCAATCCTTAAACAAATAATGTAGTACTAGGTGACCCACCCGCCGATAGTTTTGTTATCAAATTACTTTTCGCGCTGAATTAAAAAATAGAAAAAAAATTAAAAAAAAATCAACCAATAAAATTATGAGAATTAATTCCAGAAGTACTTTATGAGTGTCACGTGTAGAGAAATCAGTAAAGTGACTTCTCTTTTAATATATTGGGATGCTTATCAATTATCATACTCAACTTTGTTTCAACTCCAATGCCACGTGTCAACTCCACACAAGATAAGTGGAATCCTCATGAATCGAATCCTTCGTCCACCTCACAATCCGATCCTCTCACCACAAAACTCTCACTACCTCAAACTTTTCAAAACACAAACGCACCAAAATGGCAGCAACCGCCGCAACAACGTCGTCGTCTCATCTTCTCCTCTCAAGCTCTCGCCACGTTGCAGCAGCCTCATCTCAGCTTTTCCCAACATCTCTGTTCTCCGGCGGGAAACGATCACCAGCTGGAAAAAACCACCATCACCATGCTGCAGGCGGAGTGAGATGTATGGCGGTGGCGGCGGAGGCTAAACCGGCGGCGAGGAAGAAGAGTGGGTACGAGCTTCAGACGCTGACGAGTTGGTTGTTGAGACAAGAGCAGAAAGGAGAGATAGATACAGAGATGGCGATAGTGATGTCAAGCATAGCTATGGCTTGTAAGCAGATAGCTTCTCTTGTCCAGCGCGCCGGAATATCTAATCTTACCGGAGTTCAAGGAGCCGTTAACATTCAGGGAGAGGATCAGAAGAAGCTTGACGTCGTCTCTAATGAGGTCAACTTTTATTCACGTGTTTGGATATTCTTTTTATAATGTTTTGATATTAATACGTTTTTAGATGCAGAATCCTTTTAAGACACAACCTTAACCATACAAAAATAAACACACATGTTGATATTGTATAAATAAAAAATACATATACTCCCTCCGTTTTATATTAAGTGTCATTGTAGAGAATTTTTTGTGTTACAAAATAAGTGTCGTTTTCGGTTTTCAATGTAAAATTTATTAATTTTATTATGTAATTTGTTTTTCTATTGGTTAAAATATGGTTAGATGTATGGGTAATTTTGTTTTTATATAGGAAATATGTAAAATTAATTGTTTCCTTAATCCGTGTGCATAGTTGTAGAGTGACACTTATATTGAAACAGAGGGAGTACAACATACAACTGTATAAAAGATTAGGAGCTTTTTGAGTTTTCTTTTTTCAATACAAATTTTGATTCAACGATGCAGTAAATGTAAAACTATTTTTTTTGTTGAACTTATTTAACCTTCTTTAAAAAGAAAACTAATTTAGCTTGGATTTATAAATCTCTTAAATACACATGTAGAAACTAATTTAGTTTAGATTTCTAAATCTATTAAAATACACCAACCAATAAACCCCACTAAGTAGATGAAACACAAGTTCTAATGGATGATTGGCCAGTGTATAGTTTTTATTTAGTTATATGTTTTCTGTTATGAGAAAATTCTACCACCATATTTACGGGTCAAAATTATTTAGTGTATATAACTTTACCTAAATTTAGTCAAAAAACTTTATAAAATATTACTAAAATATTTACGGGTCACAATATTTTAAGACGCCCATGTTACACAATACAATAATGAAATACAATATTTAAACAATATACTATTACTTAGTAAAATTGACACCATTAAATTGTAATTTTAAAATGTTATATATACCATAAAAACAAAGACCCGCCCAGTCGGGTGAGTTATGATCTAGTTTAGCTTACAAAAAAACCCATGAAGAAACAAAAAAAAAACGATTGTAAAACAAATATTGTAAAAATGTTGTAAATATTGTAGAACATTTCTATTGTCTTACCAATCATGCTCCCAGCGTGTCCAAAATCAATTTAGGTTCTGATTGGTAAATTGTGGAATCACTTTATGTTGGAGAATAGTCTCACAATGTTACTAATGTATAAACTTGATGTCAATCTACAAATATAAAACCTTAGGTTATACATGATGGACATGGTTGGATGGTTACAGGTGTTTTCGAACTGTTTGAGATCAAGTGGGAGAACAGGGATCATAGCATCAGAGGAAGAAGACGTGCCTGTAGCAGTTGAAGAGAGTTACTCTGGAAACTACATTGTCGTTTTTGATCCTCTCGACGGTTCCTCCAACATCGACGCTGCAGTGTCCACCGGTTCCATTTTCGGTATCTACAGCCCCAATGACGAGTGCATCGTCGACGACTCCGACGATATCTCCGCTGTAATAACTATTCTCCCTTTCACCTTCCACATTTATTTTATTTAGCAGCATTTCTAAATTTGGTTTATGGTCTTCCTTTGGTTTTAAGTTTTCCTTTTTAGGGAAATAAGATCTAAAACCGATCAAAACCAAATTGGTTTGATTTGAGTTGATGCAATTTGGTTTAGTTTATAGGTTTCGTTTTAAATAAGAAAGAAAAAATTAATAAAAATAATTTTATGTTTAATTTATAAAATATTTTAATGAGTTTTTTTTAATGCTGGATTGTATTATTAAGTCATTTAGGCAAACAATTCTTAATAATGAAAACTAGCAAAACAAACATAGAAAACGGATACACCAGTAGGGATCCAAAGTAAACTAACATATCTTTGCATATGGATAATAATGAGTACTTTTAGTTTCTTTAGTTCTGAAATAAGAAAACAAATCTTGGTTTACACATATTTTGGTTTGATGTTGGGTTTAGCAATTCGGTTCACTCTGGTTGGTTTGGTTTGGTTGACCTTTGGCTGTGTGTTGTGGTTGCAGCTTGGTTCAGAAGAACAAAGGTGTATAGTAAACGTGTGTCAACCAGGGAACAACTTGTTAGCAGCAGGCTACTGTATGTACTCAAGCTCAGTCATCTTCGTTCTCACCTTAGGCAAAGGTGTTTTCTCCTTCACACTCGACCCAATGTACGGCGAGTTCGTCCTGACTCAAGAGAACATTGAGATCCCCAAAGCAGGGAGAATCTACTCTTTCAACGAAGGGAACTACCAGATGTGGGACGAGAATCTCAAGAAGTACATTGATGATCTCAAGGACCCTGGTCCAAGCGGGAAGCCTTACTCTGCGAGGTACATTGGTAGTTTGGTCGGAGATTTTCACAGGACTTTGTTGTACGGTGGGATTTATGGGTACCCTCGTGATGCTAAGAGTAAAAATGGGAAGCTTAGGCTTTTGTATGAGTGTGCACCGATGAGTTTCATTGTTGAACAAGCTGGTGGAAAAGGATCAGATGGTCACCAGAGAGTGCTAGATATCCAACCGACCGAGGTAACTTGAAAACACATCTCATGGTTAGTTTATTACAGTGGTTTAAACAAAAGTCTTAGAACTATTTGGGGTACATGACAGATACATCAGAGGGTTCCGCTTTACATTGGAAGCAAAGAAGAAGTGGAGAAGCTGGAGAAGTACTTGGCTTGATATTGTACCAAACATAAGCCATTTGTCTGACTACATGGCACATCTGTTATATATATATGTCAATATAGACGTATCAGCTGTTTTACTATAGAGCCAAAACCAAGTTAAGTTTATTACAAATCATATCATTTCAAAACTATCGACAAAGATGAGACTCTCGCCTTTCCAATCTGATTACTTCATTCCTGTAAAACCCATTGCCATGAGAATATATTTTTTTTTATCATCTGCCAATACCCCTATTATCCTGATTAAAGAATTGATGAAGAAAATACAAATGATAGTATTCATTTGCCCAATTTAGAGATTTTTTTTCAAGGATCAAATTTACTTTGCATGACTCGCTACAGTTGTAAAGTTTAAAAGGAGCTCTCTATTTTTAGTATATTTCAAAGGTGTTATTTATATTGAAATATTGAAAATAGAAGAAACAAAAATAAACTTGCCAGAAACACATAACTAATCTTTGTATAGATGCATTTCAGAGTAACTTTTCTGAAAACCCAATACGGGTGACACAAACGGTTATGATCAAAGCCCATCCTGCCATCATTTACGACTTTGATTAATACGTTTCAATTTATTTAGTGTTTAAATAACTACTATTTTTTTGGTTGTAATAAGTACTGTTTTAGTTATTTTAGAAAAAAAAATATTATTTTAATTTATGACCAATTACAAAATATTTTTTAATTGATTAAACTAGTTTTATTTAATGTTATTTTTATGTAACCAAAATAATTAGTAAAAAAATTCTTACTTTTTAAATTTCTGTGTAAAAACTTTAAACATCAACTAAAAAAAGAGTCTTTAGCTATTTACAAATGATGATGAAGCAAAAATGCATTTCAAAGTAATTGATGTTATGAACTTATAAAGTGGAAAGCATAAAATAAGAACAAAAGAAGAAGCATTTTTTGGGTTTACCACAGTCACAACAAAGAAAGAGAGAGACAAAAGTCACTACCTTTAACACTTTCACATTGTCCAAGTGCTTCTCTGTTCCTTCTTCCTCTCTCTCTCTCTCTCTCTACCCCACACCACACACTTTACTCTCTCCATCACAAGATCTCATCTCCCATTCCAAACCCTAGAAAAAATCAATCAAAAAACTCATTAACCACAGCTTCCTCCATTGATGGCAAGCTTCAAGTCACTCCTACTCCTCTTGCCTTTACTCTCACTCTTCTCCACTGAAGCTAAACCTTCCTTCACCTTCACAACCTTCGGTAAAAACTCGACCTTTAACTCCAACGACATCGCTCTGTTTGGTGAAGCAAACCTTGTCAACAACGGATCTTCCATTTCGATCCAGCTGAATGACTCAGGTCATGGGAGAGTTATCTACAAGAAACCCATTAACTTCACCGAGACTAAATCCGAGTATCCCTCCGGATTCTCAACTTTCATTACCTTCTCTGTTTCTCCTAGTAGTAGTGGGAGACTTGGGTTCGTTGTGTTTCCTGTTAACGGAACGTTTGATAAGTCTCTACTCGAAGTAAAGTTCGATACTTTAGATACTTTCACCAAGCTTGGAGACTCGAATGTTACTGTGAGTGTAGTTGGAACTAATGTTCCAGAGGAGACTCGAAACTTCACTATCGCTAACTTGGAGGAAGAGAGTATGTTGTATGCTTGGATTAATTACATTTCAGGTGGGAAGTTTTTAGAAGTCCGGTTAAGCAAAACAGAAAGCTTCGAACACGTTGATCCTGTTATGTTCACTTGGATTGACTTGTCGGGAATGTTGAAAGGTGACAATGAGTTCATGGTTGGTGTGAAGTCTTATGGTGGTAACGTTGATCTTCTTTCTTGGAGCTTAGAAGCCAGGAGTGTTTCCAAGGGTGAGCATTCTTATGGGGCGGTTATGGTGGAGAAGCTTATAGAGGAAGAGAAGGAGGAGGCAGAGAAGAGGAGGAGAAGAGCGAGGGTGTGGGAGATTGTGACTTGCTTTGTGATGACTTTTGGGTCTACAGGGCTTGTGTTCTTTGCTATGATGCATATATGGGCAGCTTTCAAGAGGAACAGTATTGTGATGGCTATGCAGGAGGAGTGTGGGATTAAGACTAAGGAGTTTGAGTATGAGAAGATGGAGAAAATGGAAGCTGTGATGAGTAAAACTGATAGCAAGTGAAGTCAAGTGTTGTGATATGTATGTGTGTGTGTTTAGGGTATGTGATCTTTTATGTAATCAAGTAGATTCTTCATTGGCTAATGTAAGCCTCCTTGTTTTTTCTTTCATGTGTGAACTTTTGCAATATTGTTTCTCTTTGCCACCTTTAATTTGTTTCAGCATGTAAAATGACTAGATAGGATACTGATCTGTGGTAGAAGAGAGCAACAAACTCAACTTCCTACATTAGATAATGCAGTTTAACTTCAAATACACAAACTATTTAACCGGCGATAATCTTCATGGCGATGACTACAACGTTAATGAGCAGGAGAGGGAGTCTCATGTACTGGCATGCATAGATTAGACCGATGATTTGGCCTTTGGGAGAGTTTCTTCTACCGGTTTGGTGGAGTTTGTCGAGTGTCCATCCTCTTGGAGCAAGGAAACGATCTTCGTTGAGGATTGCAAACGCATTTGCAAAGAGCAGCAGACCTTTTATCAGTGTCCAAAAAGCCATCGTTCCCTGTGGTGCATAGAGTTGAAAAATAATCAAGAATCAGAGAAAAGAGAGTGACACAAAGCTATTTGATACATGGCACACAGTTTCAACTACCAAAAGAACAATAACTTTCGTTGTTTCATGATGGATCTAACCACAACACCAAAGAACCATGAAGATAGCAATACAAATCTCGATTTCAAGCTATGCGATAAAGGTATAAGCACCGAAATAACTTAGTTTTCTAGCTATGCTGGTGCCTATAAAGGATCCTTCCTGCCATTAAATGGTAGCTACTGAGTAATAGTATCTCCAATTTATACTTGAGGATCAAGACTCACTGAGAGATAACATTGCAAAGAGACTTAAGCTACACATGATGCATAGCCCACCACTCTCAGTCTCAGTACATAAAATAAGATAAGCAACAGTCATATGATTGATGACAACAATCAGGATCAAACCCAACTTTCAAATAGTAGCACCAAAGCTAAGTTAAACATTTCATCAATTTAGTTCAAGAAACACTTCATCAAATTACAACATCATGAAATCGAAAACGTTTCCTCAGGCTCAATAGGAACATTAAATCAAATACAAGTAATCTAAACGAGAACCCTAACTGATCAATCGGTTCCCATAAACATGAAAACGCAAAAGCAGTTAAATCGCGAAAGCCACACTTACCAGCGGGAAGAAATCGACGATGAGGACAGCGTGTAACGGAGAAAATCGAATCGTCTGTGAGATTTAACTGCCGGAACCGAGGGTAGGATTCTTCGTCCTCCTCTCTTTATAAACCACCGAATAAAAACACGGTTCGGGTTTTTCACGGGTTAACCCGGTTTATTAAAATCCGGGTCAGGACCCGATATGATTTTTTTTTTTTTTTTTAAATCAAGAAGATTTGGATAAACCCTGAGGAATCGAAGTAAAAAAAAAAAACGAAACCTCCCCCCCCCCCCTCCATGGCTTCACTCCATCTCTTCCCCAACCTTCACCATTTCACTTCCACCCTACACCGTAAGAAGATAACTACACCCCACACTCGAAACCTACTCCCATCTCCCAAAGCTTCAATTAACGGAGCATCATCACCACCCAATCGCAAACCGAAAACTAAAAAGAAACAAACCGAAGAGGTTAATCCCGATTCGGATCCGGCATTAACAGACTACGACGACGGAATCGACTTCCCATACTCCGATCCTCCCCTCGTATGCTGCTTCGGAGCCGTGCAGAAGGAGTTCGTCCCCGTGGTCCGAGTCCACGACAACCCGATGCACCCCGACATCTACTCCCAGTGGAAGATGCTCCAGTGGGACCCTCCGGAGTTCGGGAGAGCTCCGGGGGGTCCGCCTTCGAACGTGGCGATATCCCACGTTCGGTTGGGAGGGAGGGCGGCGTTTATGGGGAAAGTTGGTGGGGATGATTACGGGGAAGAGCTTGTTTTGATGATGAATAAAGAGAGGGTTCAGACGAGGGGTGTGAAGTTCGATGAGGAGGGTGCGAGTACGGGTTGTACAAGGGTTAGGATTGTGTTTGAGGATGGGAAGATGAAGGGGGAGGTTGTGGAGGAGCCTCCTGAGGATTCTCTTCTTGCTTCGGAGTTGAATTTGGCTGTGTTGAAAGAGGTAACAGTCTTTTTTGCTTTAGGGTTGTTTAGGAGGAACACAGTTTTGGGTTTTTTTTTTGGACAATGATATGATAGCTTGAGCTTGGTTCTTATTGCAAAGTCTTTGACTTGAGCATGAATCACATGGTTTTACTAATTGCTGTAGGAGCAACTCAGTCATAGTGAAAACAATTTTCCGATTTATACCATTCAAATCAGTTTAAACTATTTTATATCGATCTAATTTATTAGTCTAAATCTGTTAAATTAATCAATAGTGTTATTAGTCTAGTTAGGTGTTAGTTCAAATTTCACATTTTTTTCTAAATTGTTTTGTATTATCTAATTTTGATAATTCATCAAAATAATTATATAACTAAACCCAAAACTGTAAGATTTTATATAAATGTAAAATATATATATATATATACTAAAAATCAATAATTGGTTATATAAGCCTCCAAATAATCCGATTAGTCGCTAATGCTTTACAAAATAACTAATTGCCGCCTAGATTTCTTGAAAATTGGTTAATCATATTGCAAATGTCTGGTTTCATTATGATGTAGTATATTTTTTTGTTATCATGAAACTGAGAGCACCTGCGTCTTTGTCAATCAGCTTGGCTTTTGAGCTGTTTTGTTTACTTCTGTTTATTAACAATGCAGGCGAGGATTTTCCATTTCAATTCAGAAGTGTTGACTTCTCCCACAATGCAGTCAACTCTATTCAAGGCAATACAATGGTCCAAGAAGTTCGGAGGGCTTATTTTCTTTGACCCGAATCTTCCGTTACCATTATGGAGGTCACGCAACGAGACTCGGAAGCTGATCAAGAAAGCATGGGATGAAGCCAACATCATAGAAGTCTCGCAGCAAGAGCTTGAGTTTCTACTTGATGAAGAGTACTACGAGAGGAGAAGAAACTACACACCGCAATACTTCGCTGAGGATTTTGAGCAGACAAAGAACCGGAGAGACTATTACCATTACACACCTGAGGAAATCAAGCCGTTGTGGCACGAGAATCTGAAGCTACTGGTTGTGACTGATGGAACACTTCGGCTTCATTACTATACTCCTAAGTTTGATGGTGTTGTGGTTGGAACAGAAGATGTGCTCATAACTCCTTTCACTTGCGATAGAACAGGTTCTGGAGATGCTGTTGTTGCAGGCATAATGAGGAAGCTGACGACTTGTCCTGAGATGTTTGAGGACCAAGATGTGTTGGAGAGACAGCTCCGGTTTGCCGTCGCTGCTGGGATCATATCCCAGTGGACGATTGGTGCAGTTAGAGGCTTCCCAACTGAAAGCGCGACACAGAATTTGAAAGAGCAGGTTTATGTTCCATCAATGTGGTAGTTTAGAAAGAACAAGAGCTGAGCTTCTACTACTAGATGTTTTTGAACAATGTGAGATGTATACTGATTTCAAAACTGTAATCCAATGTACAATCATTTTTGTTTGAGTTCACTGATAACAACAATGTGAGAAGGGTGGTGAGAACATGATAATACCCTATGAAATCTATGTTTGGTTAACCGTTCAGTCAACAAAATGCTCTATAGCTGATCCAAGTCTTGATGCTCTTTCTGAAGGACAATCGATTCTACAAGCTGTCTGAGCAGAACTCTGGTTACCTATGTTGTACAAAAACGCTGTGTCCTGATCCCGCAGTGTTAGACGTGTGAATTTGATTACTGTATCAACGCTATCTTAAAGAACTCTTCTTCCATGTCTTTGACTCTGTTCTTAGACTTGATTTTTTGCCAGAGCTGCCAGGATGAGACTTCTTACAGATGCAATCAGGTTGTGGGTTCGCATAGAAATTTTCCTCTAGTCTGGGAAGTGCAGCAGGCAGTCTCGCATATGGCGCTCCAATTCTGTCTCTGTTTAGTCGCTTAACCTCGGAAGCAAACTCTTCCCAAGATATGAAGCCATCATCAAAATGATCTATCAGTCTAACAAAATTCAACCTGAAACAATCACACAGAGCAAGTCAGTAAACAAGCAGTGAAAGGAACTACGCATTGTCGTAAAACAAAGTTTTTTATATACCTGTCTGGATTTATGGACTTCCTAAACCCTTCAAACCTTCTGTGCCCTTGTACAGCCTTAGCCATGTTGCCATCATAAGTATACACAAAAACATCGCTTTCAAGGGCCACAATGTAGTCCAACGCAGCAAGCCGGTTCTGGTACGGACTGAAAGGCTCTAACTCTTCTTCAGTTGCAAGAGTTGAATGAGAGAAGACATTTGGGTACTCTGCACGGAAAGCATCCATACTCTTGCTTCCATAGATTTCACCAGCAACTATATATACAGTAGTGGAGGATGGATATCCCATTGCCTTTAGAAATATGGCTGCTTCTCTCGGAGACATGGGACATCCGCCTTGAATCCGTCTCTCTATGCTATCAATCTCTTTCTCCTTCCAGTGTTTGACATTGTATCTCATGATTCTCAGATCTTCGGCTTCCTCAGATGTAAGATTGTGGCTGCAACCTGTAAAGGCAAGCATGTCCTTCTCGTATCTGCAAAATCCAAAACTCATTTAATCCAAAACCAAGATCAAGATAGTTTCCCTTCTGACAATAAAAAGAAATGCGGATTTACCTCAAATGCAGAGCGATATATGGCTCACTGTTGTTTCTTAAACGGTTAACCAATACCTTTCCGAGGTCCTCGATCTCTTTCGTGTACACCAGTGCCTTGTAATTAGCACGACATCTCAACCGTTGGATTGAAGGTGGCAAGGCATTGTTAGCAAGCCGTGAGTCGGTAAGCATGAACTTTAACACCTTGTAACGTTTTAGAAGTGGCAGCATTTCGCTTCTGTAGTAACTAGCCTTTGACCAAGAAACAGGGGCCTTGAGAAGAGGCTTCATGGCGGCATACTCAGGAGGCAAATACTCTACAATGTCAACATCGTGTTTCAGTACATTCATGAAGTTTCTCCAGTCGAAAATATCTTTGAATGTGCTGCAAACAAAGAATATTTATTAGCATTTCCACTTGTTTTCTAGTAATATATTGTGATATCATCAATAAGCTTGACAAGATATAAGGACAAGACCTCGGGTCAGTCCAGAAAGATTCATGGTCGAGAAGAGGAAGAACAAGAGTTGCATTCATAATCTTGGCAACAGCAACCATGTCACATATCTGCATTTTGGTCAAAACGAACAAAGAACAGTAAATCAAAAGAAGTTCACTAAGGGAAAAGAATCATGAGATCAAAAACCTTCTAAAATATTGTGGAAGTGACAACTCACCCCGGTTCTCATCTGATTCAATCCTCCATTTGCGTGTACTATAAGATACCCATTGGTTTTCTGGCCCAGTCCTGGACAAAGACGTATATCAGTTCCTCACTCCAGGAAAAAAACAAGATCTTGATAATTCAAAAACTGCAAATGCGTCTGAAGAAAAGCTAAGAAATGCACGCAACATACTCGTCTTGTTCTTAGGACGCGCGACACATTGACGATACTGCCCGCTTTCAGGTTTCTGCCAAATTTCTGGAATCTGTAAAAAGCAACAGCCAAACATGAAACTCCATAATAAGATCCTCAAAGTGAAGTCAGCATGAAAGAGTTTTGTCTTCCTTAAATTACAAAAAAAAACAGTGATTACAAAATGTCTCGTACCTTAAGTTTATCACGTGAAAATCAACAAGTTACTTAACTCAACAAACGAAACCACACACTTACAAAGATCAAAGTTTTAAACTCATGGGTACATCTACTCAACGATGACATGAACTGTAAATATAAACCCACATCAACTAGATCGTATTAGAACTTCCACATAAAATTAAAATTCCCAATTTAAAAAATCTCAAACTATGCCACAACAAAAAAGAAGACCATACACTGTGCCAAACCTAAGGTCAACTGAAACAGTAGGAAAGTGATGTTCCACGTCAAAAAGCCACCCAAATCAATTGACTATTAATGCTCGTCAAACTCTCCCTCAAATATCAAAAACTAGAGCTCATAAAACGACTTCCTTTAATATTCTAGCGCCACCAAAACATTAATCATTCACTTATGAAAATCATCAAAGATGCACAAAGAATTCAACTTTCTACCTAACCCACTACTCCATCTCCTCTCAGTGCAAACATAATAACATCGAAGTTACAATCACAGCCAAAAAATCCGCTCATTTCATCTTAAGTTTCGACCATAAACCCTCAACAGTTGTTATTTTCTTGGGAAACAAGCAGAAAAGGGTAAATCAGACAAAAACAAAATCGAATTTGATCTTAAGCACTGACCTAATTAAAAAAAAAAAAAAAAAATAGATCAGTGCATAAGAGAAAACAACCAACAACAAAGTTAATCTAATAGCTAAATCTCTTTAATTAAGATGTCACATGTTCAAATCCTAATAAAACGCGTCTGAAAGTAAAATTACATTTTAATTATATCGTAAAAATCGAATCCCTAAAGGAGACACTCACGGGAACCTTTTCAAGGACACGCATTGGCTGAAACGAAGAAGCTTGATTCTCCTCCACCACTTCCCGTCGCGCCAACGACCGATCATCACGGAACGATCTAACGACAACAATCTCGTTCAACCTCGTGTGCACACCACCAACGAGGTACACCTTGAGGAACACTGACGCGACAACGAGAGCCATGAGGAGGCCCAAGATCCGACGGCCGACGTTCTTCCCAGATCTAAACCCTAAAAACGGAGATCGGAGTAATTTACGGAGGGAGAGGAAACGAATCATCGCTGGGTGGTTGTGGATTTTGTGGTAGTGACCTTCCGAAGATGATGCGGTGTCTTGATCGGTTTTCGTATCTCCTCCGTCGTTCATATCCGTGGGTTCGTTACCGGTGGTTAAATCGGCGGGATTTAAGGGACGTTCGGAGATTGCGTCGACACGGCGGCGGGGAACGGGTGCGTCGGGTGAGGAGTTGATTGCTCCGGCGACCGACATGGTTTAGAAGGGGAAATGGAAGAGAGATACAGAGGAGAGAGAGAGAGAGAGAAAGAGAGAGAGAGGGATGATTTAGTTTTTTGGGGGTTACGTGGCAATGTTCTGACTTTCTTCTTCTTGTCAATATAAAGCCCCACCGTCACCGTGAAGTTTGGTGGAAGCTGAGAGACGCCGAGTCTCGTTTGTTTGTTTGTTTTTGTTTGTCAGCTTTTTATGTTTTGGGCATGTGCGTTTTATATTTTTTTTCTTTTGTCGTCATTGAGTGCGATTTATATTTTATGTGACCGTTCTAACCATTTCGTTTTTCTACCGACCGTTTGCATTATTTTTTTACGGATAATAACTTCCAGGATTCATTCATCATGTATGTTATCACATGGTTTAGACCATCTCCAAATGGTTAGTTCTATTTTCTCTTTTTTTTTTTAAATAGAGTAATTAAAATTGAGTTATACTCTATTTTAGAATGTAAAAATTTTAAAAGATGAAGAATCCCTCTATTTCATATTATTGAGGACGATTGATTAGCCTATAGATGTATGTTGTTTCTCTTTTAATTATAGAAATATAGCTGTAGCATTTATTTTGTTATTTTTATTTTTGTAATTGTATGTTATTTGGGTGTAGAAAAATATTACAATTGCTAAGACACTTTAATAATTGCTAAAACACTTTAATAACTTCCAGAATTCATTCATCATGTATGTTGTTATCACATTGTTTAGAACATCTCCAAATGGTTAGTTCTATTTTATTTTTTGTTTGAATAGAGTAATTATAGAGTTTTGACCAAAAAAAGAGTAATTATAGAGCAAAAAGTTATACTTTATTTTAGAATGTAAAATTTTTAAAAGATGAAGAATCCCTCTATTTCATATTAATATTGTATATTTTCAGATATTTTAACTTTTTGATAAATGCATTATTTAAGATTATCAATTTAAATAATATTACTAATTCGATAAACTTAATTAATTTTCATAAATTTTATATTTTATTATTAGCTAAATTTTATCGAAAACATATGAAATGTACTTTTGTGAAACATTTGTTTCAGAACTTCTATTAGTATAAGTTTTGTTTTGATTTTATTACTATAAACAGGAATCTCATAAAGGGTTAGTGACGCATACATAGACTAATCGAGACAAGGTGAAACATCTTAATCCTACCTCCGTCACAGTTTTCTCAACACAAACCGATTTCGTCTAGATGGATACATGTAGTATGATAATTCTAAATACTGTATCTTGTTCAAATTCATGAATCTCTTTTCTTTTTGCTAAAAAAAATTTATGAATCTCGTAAATTCAAAATACATGTTGCTTAGTATCTACTCTGTCCTAGTCTCTTACAACAATGCCTAGTCTGGATTTAATCATTTTCACACCTCACATCACATGTATCTCCATAATAGAAGTGACATATATGATCGTCCACATGCTATCACGATAATGACTAACATTCACAGTCGAATCATACAATATATAATACTGATACAATTCGATGCACATTGCCCGTAGTTTTTTATTTTGTCATCAATAATAGGTCTATAACCAATTAATCACTGACTTTCATTCTCAGACCTCTAACAAATATTTTATCTAAGGACATTCCACGCTTGTTAAATTATTTAAATCATTAGATTTTTATTCCTGTCTGATTATCTAAACTATTAGTATTTCTGTTTTACTTTATTTGATGCTTACATATTTTTTTGTAAAATAAATGATTTTTCATTATTCTAGATAAAATAGTTAATGTTGCTTTTTGAAAATTTGTAACTAATTATATAACAGTACGTATATGAATGGTGACCAAAAAACGACGAGATAATATATTTTCTAACATTTTTAAAAATTTTGACCATTTACAGGAAACATTTTTTTCTATTTTTTCTCAGTCATTTTACTCTAAAGTAATATAGGACAATATTATCTTTTATTAAATATGATAAAGAATAATCATTATTCATCAATTCCTAAAATTTTATTTTCTATTCGTTTCTAATATTTTTATAATGGTTCCCAGTTAGATATATTATTTTTTATTGGTTGAATTAATTTTACTTAGTAATATATTAATAATCAAGATAAATTATCTAAAAGTTACATGTACATTAAATTTAAACACCAAATAAAATGAAACAAAGAAGGAGTATAATTTAATTGTTTGACATTAAAGAATAGAATTTTGAAATCAATTAATATATCAAAAATTAAGAAATGTTATTAAGTTTTTAAATGAAACATGTGGAGATTTAAATATTTTTTAAAAAAAAAAAGAAACGAGATACTCAAAATACTTAAATATCAGCCTAACTTAGAAAATTTGAGATAATTTAAGAGTGATAGATAAATCTCAATCTACCTGGTGTGGTGTCAGCATTTGTGTTTGACTCTTTTTCACGTTAATCACAAGGAATTAACTAAAATCTTAGTGGAAGATTAGTCTGCACACACACACCAGCAAACTATCTTATATAATAAAGCGCTGCCGAAGAAAGACGATCTTTTACTAACTGAAACTCTCGGCGTCAAGTTGCGTTATCGTCGTCACTCTTCCCGAGATTCGAAACCCTAACTTTCTTCGTAACTTCCTGGATCGTCGAAGGATGGTAGCTGATAGCAAATCCGACCTCTCGTTGCCTAAAACATTCGCCTGCAGTGCCTTCGCTGCCTGCATCGCCGAGGTACTCTACTTATCCCGATTCCTCCATGCGTATTTAGATTCTTATTCTCTTCTCGCTGAATATGCTTCGATTTGTACGCACAAGCAAATGTAATGCAAAATTCGCATCAGGTTGATCTTATAGCTAGAGCATCGTGCTGTTAGATTCTGTTTACCGTTGCTGCTCATGTTTAGTTTCGATTGAATCGATTCGATTTCAAGGATCGGAAAGGAGAATATTCCATCTCGATTGTGTTGAAAACGGTCAGATCTGTTGCTAGGATTGAGTTTTAGCGTTTGGATTGTAATTATAGTTTTGATATGATTCTTGCGGAAAGGAATACGAAATTTCGTAATGGAATCGATTTTTGTATATAATGCGACGCTAATTGTCTCCTCTGCTTAGCTGTGTGTTGCGTTATCTGTTTCTGAGATTGTAGGCACATATGTATTGCGAATTTTCCATGAAAATCCCGATCATCTTCGTTTGTCATCGTATAGCTTAGATGTTACAGGAATATATTCTATATACCTTTTCTCCAGATCATGTGCTAATGTTTAGTTTCGAGGGAACTGATTCGATTTCTACAATATGAAGGAGAATATTCCACCTTGAGTGTGTTAAAACGGTCAGATCTGTTGCTAGGATTGAGTTTTTTGGCGTTTAGATTGCAGTATTTGACGATGTTAATCAAGATTTGGATATGATTCTTGCGAAAATAGTATGAAATTTCATGATAGAATCGATTTTGTTTATAATGCAACACAAAACTGTATCCTCTGCTTAGCTGTGTGTTGCGTTATCTGTTTCTGAAATTTGACTATGCAATCAAATTATGGATCACAGGTATGTACGATTCCGTTGGACACTGCGAAAGTTAGGCTTCAGCTTCAAAAGTCTGCCATAGCTGGAGATGTCACTCTGCCTAAGTATCGAGGATTGTTGGGAACTGTTGGTACCATTGCAAGGGAAGAAGGGCTTCGTTCGCTATGGAAAGGTGTTGTTCCCGGATTGCATCGTCAATGCTTGTTTGGTGGTTTAAGGATCGGAATGTATGAGCCGGTAAGTTTCAAGTTTTACTTCTTTATGGCTCTATACAACTTGTTAGTCATCGTAAGGCTTAAACCAAAGCTACTGTTTTGCTTAGGTTAAAAACTTGTACGTTGGGAAAGACCATGTAGGGGATGTTCCATTGAGCAAGAAAATCCTTGCTGGTTTGACTACAGGTGAGCATAGTGTTAGAAGAAACTAATGATGTATCTTATCATCTTCATCATTTAAGTGGTGTGTTGTTGTCCGACTCTCAGGTGCGCTGGGTATCATGGTAGCGAACCCCACGGATCTTGTGAAAGTTAGACTTCAGGCTGAAGGGAAACTACCTGCAGGTGTGCCAAAACGGTATTCTGGATCGCTGAATGCGTATTCAACTATTGTTAGACAGGTATTTATCCCACCATGGAAGTTGAGGTTACGTATTAATTTGCTTAAACGCTGCTTTATATCTTTTTTTAAATTTGGCTCTGACAGGAAGGAGTCCGAGCTCTTTGGACTGGTCTTGGACCTAACGTAGCAAGAAACGCAATCATCAATGCTGCTGAACTAGCGAGTTACGATCAAGTGAAACAGGTATAGAAAACAAACTATAACCCCTGCGTTTGTCGTCTAACTTAAGGATCCAGATGTTTTAACCAACGTTCTTGTTGTTTTTTTCTCTATCAGACAATCTTGAAGATTCCAGGTTTCACTGATAACGTTGTCACGCATATTCTATCTGGACTGGGAGCAGGATTCTTTGCTGTCTGCATTGGTTCCCCTGTTGACGTGGTATGATATCTATCTACACATGACGTTTAACCCATGAGAGTTTGTTCCTCTATGTGTCCAGATTTTATTCTTGAATCTTGTTGTGTGGCACAGGTTAAGTCAAGAATGATGGGAGATCCTTCGTACAAAGGCACTATTGATTGCTTCGTCAAAACTCTGAAGGCTGACGTAAGAAACCCTTCTTCTCCGTTCTCTCTAAGAAATCTTGTTCTAAACATATAACCCTTGATAATGTTTACAACACTTTGAGTTTTCTCCTGTTCAGGGTCCTATGGCATTTTACAAGGGTTTCATCCCCAACTTTGGACGTCTTGGCTCATGGAACGTCATCATGTTTTTGACCCTCGAACAGGTAAATGACCTAATGCAACTTTTACTGTATCAAACAATAACAGAAACCTCTCTTTTTTTAATCACTGTTTTTAATACCGTTTATCCAGGCAAAGAAGTTTGTCCGGGAACTAGATTCGTCCAAGAAAAACTGAGAAACAAAATCTTAACCAGAGAGACAATAAGAGCAACAATACGTTTCATCTTAATTTCGGTGGTCGAGAGAGGCCAAAACTTCATTGAATATTGTTTTCGGAATAGGGAAGTCGTTTTCAAGCAAAACTATGAAATAAATTTGTGTGAGTTGCTCATATATTGACTGTACCCTTCAAACATTTATCAAAAAGATACATTTTCTTCCCTTGCACAAAACTGAATAACCAAAAAAAAGAAATCCGGAGTCAAAGAGACAGTCTCAGCTCAGTTTCTTATGTTCCGGATAAGCCCATATCTCGAGTCTAAGATAAAGCTCTTTAGATTTGTTGTAGATGAACACCATAGATCCATCTATGTGATCTTCGTATCTCTCATAGAAAGCTGGAACTACCATTACCACCAAAACCCCTGCCAAAAATAGCCACAGTTTAGTGAATCTTCCAAGCTTAAACCAGTCCAAGTCTCTGAGAGCTATTTACTTACCAGTGTGGCAAAGTGTTTGAAAATCCATGAGGCTTCCAATGAATGCTACGAGAAACAGATAGACTGCTACTTTGATAAACATCTCTGAGTCTCTTCCCATTGCAATGTCATACGATACTTGAAACAGTTTATTCACATGGATGCGCAACAACTTGGAAGCTTCTTCAGCCATTGCTTCACTTACTTGAAACTCTGGTAATGCCGGTGACGGCCTAAGAGCCCATGGAAATATATAACAAGAAATTATAAAAGAAAAATATTTTTTATTACAGTGGATACCTTGACAGAGACATTTTTGGTTTTACCTGTTGAGGATGGATGCAGATTTGGACCAGAGGAAGAGAATAGAGAGCATGAGGAGAAGAACACTTGAAATAAGAGTGAGGATTGTATAGGAAAATGTCTCAAACACCATCCATGATCCTATTGTTACTGTCACTATACCAACACTCACATTTTTTTTCCTCCACAGCATCACATCTGCAACTGCAGATTCATTTCACAAGAAATAAGGTTACACAAGTGACAGATCACTTAGCTTCTATAATTGATTCACCTACCAATGCCACCTCCCAGAATCTCATGTACAGTCCTCTCTCTCTTGAACAACTTTTCCGAAGAACTCATTCTGAAAAGAACCGGATTTGGACTTAGATTTTCTTAGATCCCAAAAACTACTCAGATATAAGGTCAGAAACAGATCATCAAGTGCAGATGAATCACAAAGGCTAAAATCGAAGAGAGAACGGCATGAATCAGAAGAAGAGAGTAATAAACAAAAAAGGTGATGAGACTAAAGTTGGGTCATCACCAGCATAAACTTTGAATTTAATAAACTAATAATAATTCAAAGCTATGCTCTGTAAGGAAAAAGAGAAAGTGTGTGTTGGCCTCTTGATGTATTATCACCTTCCAGCCTAAAGGTGTTATCCCTTCTAGTCCATGTTTTTAACAACTGTAAAAATGGTCGTATTATCAAAGTTAGTAATCTATTTAGTTTTGTCAAAACCAATTAATTGTTTAACTAAAAATATTGACCAAAAAATACTGAATTCAAAACAACAGAAGCAGTATTTATCATAGATCAGAAGAAAAAGTTTTATCTATTTTTTTGGGGAAAACGACCTATTTCCACACAAAAAGTATCATATAGTACCAGTTCCACACGATCTTTCAACCTCGTCTTAATTGCCCATATTAAAAGTTTGACAACCTATTTCCCCCCAATAATAAATTTCGAAACCCGAACCCCCACATCTTCGGTTATTTAACGATTCAGTGGTTCATAAGAGGTTAACCAAAACCGAAAGACATAAAATAACCCGACCAGAGATCCGATATATTCATCCGGTTCGAATCCATGTTTTAAAAACACCCAATTATACAATCCCTAACAATCGACGTATCCAGAAACTCTCTCCTTCATCTTGTGATAATTAAAGATGAGCAATGACAGTGGAGCTTCGACAGGAACATCAGGAGTTCGAGGAAGAGGACGAGTGGTTGGTGTGCCGAAGAGATGCTGGTGTGGAGAACTCGTGGTAGCGAGAATGTCGAAGTCTGATGCTAATCCCTATCGACGATATTACCGTTGTGCATATGCGGTGGAGAGAAAGGTAAGTGTGATGAATCTGATATTCAATGTTCATATAGCATAGATTTGAAGAAATATTGTTGCTTTGTATATGTAGCTTAGCAATGATAACCACTCATACAAATGGGTAGATGAGGCTTTGGCAGATGAGATAGAGACATTGGGGATGAGGACTGGAAGACTTGAGCAGCAAACCCAAATTGCAAATTTGGAGGTAGAGAAGCTGCGGTTTGAGAAAGAAATTCTCGAAAAAGTGGAAGGAGTTGTGGCTGAAGCAAAGTCTGAGTTAAAGAAACTGATGGTTATTGTTGCTCTAGGTTGTTTGATCATTGTCGTGTGTGGTAAGCTAATAGTTTAATGTGGGATGAAGATGTGTGCTTAGTGATTTAAGATATGTGATGTTGTTTAAGTTGTTGACGATGTGTGCTTAGTGATTTATGATATGTGATATTGTGTAAGATGTTGAACATGTGTGTTTAGTTATTTAAGATATGTGTTTCTGGTTTTTGATCAAATATTTGTGTGTTGTTACATGTTTTCTAAGAAGCAATTTAAGAGAAAACAGAAAATTTGATCAATATCATACATCACATTAAGCACCCTTAAAACATTCTTAAATTCGACAAAGTAGTACCTAAACACACCAAAAGAGGTTCTTAAAGCCGATAAAGTAGTACAACAACACACTAAAATAGGTTTAAAAGCAACAAAAGATCATGAAAACCTGTCTTAAAAGCAGCAGAAAAAACTCAAAACAAGATTACTAAACCACATCTTAATTTTCTAGTTGAGTGCAAGCTCCTTGAGAAGATTCAGGCTGAGAAGACTCGTTATCCAAAGAGGCCTGAAAAATATAATACAATACAACTTTCAGTCATAGAAGAATATAGAATACATGGTTTTCAAAGGTTTGAAACATACCTTTTTAGGTTTCTTGTTATGGAAACGTGAGTTATGATTTGCAGCCTTGCAGATCCCACAATGCATTATTCGCTTCAACAACTTATCTGTCTTTTTCACCGGCGACTCATTAATGCCTCTCTTTCTCTTTTTGTCAGCTTTAGTAACTTTCTTGCGACCTGGCTGATCAGGAACTTCATGCTCAAGAATAGGAGGATCTGGTCCCACTGGCCAAAATTTGGCTCCTCGCAAGGGAACAATACCGTCAACATAAGTGTTTCGCCATGTTTCTGTCCTAAACCAGTGCTCGACATAGTCTTGAGCTTCTAAACCTTTCTTCAACATAACACCGTAGGCGTGCTCACAAGGAATACCAGTGATCTCCCATCTACGGCATGTACAAGTTCTATTGCCCAAGCTTACTCTATATGCACAACTGTTGAGACTAGATTCATATGTCTTGTTTGTTGACGGTCGAACAATATATTCTGAAGCTTTCTTACGCAAAGTCTCAAGAGTGTCTACCACATATGGTGTGCAAAGGCCTTTGTAATTGGTGGCAATCACATCTCGTTTCGCTATACGAACCATGGCCAAGCGAGCAATTGTCTCAAGCATCGGCACATAAGGTTTGTCTCGGGCTTTACCTATGGTGTTGTTAAATGACTCCGTGGAATTGTTTTCCACATCCTCACAACATGGTCCAAGCTTGTGGAATGCTCTTACCCAAGTCTCCGGCTTCGACTTCATCACATCATCGTATATTTCTTTGTCATAGGCCAATATCTTTGATAGATTTACCTTGTAATCACCTTCATTGTAGCTCCAACCAAGGTTCCAAATCAGTCGTTTTAGTTCCGGTTTCTTTCCATGTGCATTCTTCAGGTTACCATAAATGTGTCTCACACACATCCTATGTTCAATACGAGGCAATTCCATCTTCACGGCAGCAATCAATCCCTACAACAACAACAACAAGAATTTCATGAAAACAGAAACATATGCTAATGTAGACAATTAAGATCGTTACCTTTTGGCGATCAGAAACAAGTACAAAACCATCTCCATCGTTTAGTCCTAGATCAACTTTGACCTTCTTTATAAACCACCGCCAATTTTCCTTGTTCTCGACTTGTACCACAGCCCATGCGATTGGGTATATTGCATTATCAGCATCACGACCCAAAGCCACCAGCAACTGACCTTTCAACTTTGACTTCAAGAAAGTCCCATCTACTCCTATGAGAGGTCTACAATTTTTTTTCCAGTTTTTCCTAAGTATATCAAAACAGACATAGAATCTGTTGAACACATCAAAACCTTTCTCGTTTTGCACGCAATCTAACTCAACTGACGAATTCTCATTTGACACCATTATCTCTGAGCAATAATCACGAAGGCGGCTAAACTGCTCATCATACTCTCGCTCTATCCATCTTAACGCTTTGTTCCTAGCATGTTGACATTGAGGCCTTGTCACACTAAGCTTCCATTTTTCCATAACCAACTCCTCAATCTTCATTGGCATAAAGTACTCGGGTTCTTCTCGAATCTTGTCAACAAACAGCCGTGCAATTACCGGAACTTTCAGAAGCTCACATGTACCAGTGGGAACACAACTATGAGCTTCCTTAAATATCTTCACCTGCCACTTGTTAGGAGACTTTTCCGAAGTTGAGCAGTATATGCGCCAACTACAGCCTTTCCCCGAACACACAAACTCCAGCTTCGTCTTATCATACCTGTTTTGTTTGATGTTTCGACCAGTTCTCAAGGCATAGTCTACCACAGCTTCCTTGAACGCGATACCACTGATGAATACTTGTCCTTCATACAAGTGACCATTGCCTCTCCTAATATCTCTGCGCCTATAGATTGTCCTCTGAATTTCATCTTCTCCTTCTTCATCATCCTCTGTCTCCGGATACTCGTCGTGTCTAACTGAAGGTTCATCTACGAATTCACCAACATATTTTTCAATGTCGAAGTCATTACGCTCACGTCGATTTTCACCATCAGAATCGTAACCTTGGTCGAATTCAGGGACATCATTCCACTCAACATTCACATCAGTCCATACTTCCTCAGACATTCTACAAACAGAAATTCGAAATTGAAACAGAGAGTAAAAAAAAATTGATTCAATCTAAACAAATTATCATAATAAAAACTCCAAAAAGAAGAAGATAAGGCGACAAAATCACCTGATCTAATCGATTAGCCAGAAAGAATCTCCACAGTCGATGCTTCAAAGTTTCAGTTTTTAATCGCCTTGGGTTCACGACAAGTTAGAGATAAACAGAGAACTGGATCTGATTTTTTTTAATTAAAACCGGTTAGCAGGTAGGTTAATTAAATTATGGTTTATCATCACCAATCGGGTCATAAACGGGTCGTCTTAGGTTTAGTTAGGTTTTCTGTTGGTTAGATTAAACTTAATCGGGGATATGGGGGTTCGGGTTTCGAACTTTAATATTAGGGGGAAATAGGTTGTCAAACTTCTAATATGGGTAACTACGACGAGGTTGAAAGATCGTGTGGAATTGGTACTATATGATACTTTTTGTGTGGAAATAGGTCGTTTTCCCATTTTTTTTGGCACCTATCTTTTCTTTTTAAATTTCCTAAATGAATATATAAAGAAATAGTTGAAACATTTACCATTTCAGTATTTAATCAAAGGAGACACTGGGCTTGGAGTGTGGCTTGTTTAGATCTAATTTTAAGATTGTCAGAAGTAAAAATGGGTTGATCAGAATTTACCAAAAAAATAGAACTCAAACAAAACACCATATTACAAACCATTTGGTTTCTGTTCAATGTAAGCTTCTATGTTGTTCTGTATGTAAAATTGTTCATATCAAAAACAAAAACAAAAAACATAAAAAACAAGTGAATGTTCCTTCACTCACATCAATGAAAATGCCATGTTCTCTATCTTCTCTGCTACTTTTCTTTCTCAGTTTCCTCTTGAGAAGTCCCAACAGTTTGTTTCTCAGTTTCCTCTTGAGAAGTCCCAACAGATCCAGGATTAGCACCAGCCGCACAAGCATCTAACAAACTCGCTGCAATCGCTGCCTTCAAGTCATCATCCTCCATCTCTGAAAAAGCCCTCACTTCCTCCCTTGACAATGCCTCATAAGGCCTCTGTTGATCAACATTATCACTAGTTCTGTTTCCACTCGCAGAAGAAGAACTCCTAACCGCGCCAGTGGTCTTTAACAGCCTCTCTGCATCCTCAGGAGAAAGCCACTGACCAAACCCGTTTGAAGCCTCAGAAGAAGACAAGGGACACTCCTGTGGGAAGTTTCCTGTCACTATGAAGATGCTCCATCCTGAGCCTCTGAGAGAGTCGAGAAACGCAGAAAGGTAGAATTTCGACAGGTGCTGCGGTGCAGCGAGGAGGCTGTCAAAGTTATACCATTCTCCATTCACTTTCCTTATGCAAAACCAATGGTCATGCAAGTGGCAGATGAAAGCGTTTTCAAGCTCAGGGTCTATCTGCGCAGGCTCTGCGTCACGGCAATTGAGCGGAATCACTTGTAAATTCCACACTTCCAATGCCTTTTGCAAGACCTGATCAATCAAAATACAAGTTTCATTAGTGTAAAGAAATATGAAGCTTTAGATACAACACAGATCACATAAACCTAGAAAAATCGCTTCTATCCTTATACGTTTAAAAATGGTATGTCAATCTTCTACATTTTAATCTCAACACACAAAACTTGCAAGCAAAACTGACTCGTGTCTCAGAAGACTTATCAAGCTACTAGCTTTCAAGGTATACAGGAATCATTGATGATAAGATACTAGTTACAAGAGACAACCATGATCAAAAACCTGAAGTGACTCAAAGATATAAAAACCTAAAGTCTCTGATCTCATGTATCAACATACTAATCAAGCTACTACCTTTCAAGCTATACAGGAACCATAGGTGATAAGATACTTCTTACACAAGACAATCATGATCAAACCTGAATCGAGTCAAAGCTACGAAAACCTAAAAGTCCAAGAATTCACCATTACTAATCTCAATTGAATACTTCTGTAAATCAACTTGATTCAATCTGTATCACACTTATCTATTAAAAGTTCAAATCTTTAAACTTGTGCATCAATCTTCAAGATCACAGATACGAATTCAAAAAGGTTTCCAAATCAAATTCACCACGAAAAATCGAAACCCTAAATCCCCCAAAATTCAAGAAATGCCAATTGTAACCAACTTGTAACCTCAATTCACTACTTATACAAAAGTCCAAATCTTTAATCATCAAGATCACAGATATGAATTCAAGAACTCGAAACCCTAATTCCACGAATTCAAGAAACGCCAATTGTAACCAACTTGTAATCTCAATTCATTACTTAAATAAAAAGTTCAAATCTTTAATCTTCAAGATCACAGATATCAATCCAAGAAATCAAAACCCTAATTCCCACGAAAATCAAGAAACGGCAATTGGTATCAACTCGTAATCTCAATTCATCACTTATACAAAAAGTTCAAACCTTTAAACTTGTACAATCAATTCACAACGTTTCCCACGAAATCGAAACCCTAAATTCAAAGAAATGTCAATTCTCCTACCTGGATACTGAAGTCGCCGCCGAGAGAAACGTTATGAGACTCCTCAGAGAAGAAATCGCCGGCCGCAAAAGTTCCCGCGGCGGCGCCTTCGAGCATGACCTGGCGCTCCTTCCCATCGAGATCGGATGCGACGGCGGCGAGATCGAATTCGGAGAAGAAAGGTCCCTGGAGGACGGTGTTGACGCAGTGGACGGCGCAGAGATTGGCTTCTTGAACCTCGTGGTACAAGATTCCTCCGTTGCTAGGTCGATCCATCGCTGATTGAGATTGGAATCAAAACCCTAATCTCCTTTAGATTCCGTGAGGATGTGTTTATATATAAGATGGAGAGATGTGAAAGTCTTTGCCTTCAAGCAATTAGAGAGAGGAAGCAATGGGAGAGAGAAGATGGAAGTTAGAAATTAAAATATTTTAGACGCTCCTTTTAGTTATCCTTTTGATATAAAAATGTTATCCCACGTCATTTGACATGTGTCATGATTTTTTTTTTTATATAAAATTGTTCTCTTTATTAAGCTTAAATAATTAAATTTAAATACTTGGATTTGACTTATGTATTTAAGTGCTTTTATTTTTTACACATTTAGCTTAGCACACAACTAGATTTTGACCCGCTCAACCGAGCGGGTGTTTAATTTCATATATATATGTATCATTATTAGTATATATTATTAATTATATTCATATCTTTAAATGTCTATTTATTGTTTTTTTGTCAAGCAAATGTTCATTTATTTATGCTTACTAATTTTAGATAATATATTGTTGTATATATATATATATATAAAAATTTAAGATATGTTAATTTTTATACATATATTATATAGTGTACTATGTTAACCCGTTTTGACAACATATTATATTATTTTAATATAAATCTAATATTTATGAAACAAAAATATATTAATATATCATGTTCATATAATTTATTAATTGTCATTAAATGTAATTAGTAATTAAATTTTAATTTCGTTTTGATTATAAAGAAAAAGGCAGTTATATAAACATTTTAATTATATATAATGATACTAACAGTTTAAATTGATTAATTTTCAAAAATGCATTTTACATTGTAAATAAATAATATTGATTTCATGACTTATTTTATGCATGGATTTTTTTTTTAATTTATACCATTATAAGTCATAGCTTTAAATATGTCTAGCATATAACATTAAAATTTATGTCATTCATTTTTAACACAAACTAATAAAAATAATTGACATATTCCAACTTTCAGTGAAACACAAAACTAATAAAAAAAATTATATTCTTATTTAACTCGACTTTACTTGTGAATAAAATTCACTTGTGTCTTTTTCTAATTACAATGAATTGATATCTATTCATTTTTTAAAATTTAGTATATTTTTTTAAAAAAGATTCTAGAAGATTTTGTTATAATTCTCTTTAAAATATTTATCTTATTTCAAATAAAGAAAATATATCAAAAGATATTGTAATTAAGTTAAGTAAAATGTTATTAAGATATAAGTTAAATATTACTTCCTAGGAAAGTTCATTTTCTAAAATATAACACATGAAGAGAAGTTGTGACTTCTCTTTTAATATAATAGATAACAGAAAATTATAAAAACAAACCAATTTTAATATTTTGGTTTCTGATATATAATATAGCATATCTCTATAATATTATTTGAGAAGTCACTTTCTTAGGTGTCGCGCTCACGTTAACTCTCACGCTGGTTGATTACTATGATACCCCTAATGAATTAAAAATATAATTAAATATTATTTCCTTTTTAAAAATTTCCAAATAACAATATAAAATAAAAAGGAAACATTTATAAAATTTACAAAACTATTTAAAAACGAAAATATAAGTATATTTTAATAAAAAGGAAAATTCACAAAATAGTAATAATTAATTTAAATATATTTTAAATATCATAAAAAAAACCTTTGAAGTAATAAAATACTTTATATCTATATCTTCTTAGATAAAAAAAAATAATATCTGTACATAATGAGATTTCATAAAAAAAAAATTCACACAAAAAATATTGCTATTAGAAAAAGAAATACCTTAAAAAATAATTTTAAACAATAAAATATATATATATTTTCAAAATAATTATGATTACATAAAATAATCAACTAACATAAACTGATATATGTTTAACTGAAATTTTTTTATAATTAGTATTATTGAAATTATTTTTTTAGTATATTTATTTGACTATAATATTTTACAATTACAGTAAAAATATAAATTCTATTTTACTTATATATTCTCAAAAACAATCACGTTTTACTGACTATTTTAAGAGATACTAAAAACAAAACTAAAAATAAATTTAATGATAAACATCTTTTGATCAAGTAACTACAATTATTTTAAAATATCATAACACTATATAATTTAACGAGGTAGATATATTATATTTTAATAGTTAAAATTAGTTGTTCTAAGAATAAGGATTCTGATTTACTTAAGTATTTTGATTATGGTTATATTAAGTTTCACAAACATAAAAACAGAAAATAACTACAATTATTTTAAAATACCATAACACTATATAATTTAACGAGGTAGATGTATTATATTTTAATAGTTAAAATTATTTGTTTTCTTAATAATCTTTTAATTTTTATTTTTTTGTTTTTATGTTTGTGAAACTTAATATAACCATAGTCAAATACATAAGCAAATCAGAATCCTTATTTTTAAAGTTATTTAAAATAAATTTCAGGTTACCATCCAAACAATCTAAAGCATAAATTTATTTAGAATTTATAAAATATGTTAACTATTGTAAATATTGATATGTGTTCAAAAATCTTCTAGAAATTCATTAGTTACTTATGTATATAATTTAGAATCAGAAACTTTAGTTTTTATTTTTTTCCTTCTAAGCACAAAAAAATCTTAAGTTATATATAATCTTACTAAATATATTTATATTTCTAAGATAACAACCAACATAAACGCAAATAAGACAATTAATCAAAAATTTAATATTTTAAAATATAAAAGATAATAGTAGAATTCATATAAATAGATAGAATCCAATATATCTAAATGATAACTAAATCGACCGTAAAAAAATAAAACAGACTAAATATAACATATCTAAGATTATATATAATTAAAGTAATATAATATTATAATAAAAATTAGACATACAAACTATAAATTAATTTAAAAATTAAAGTAAATATCACTCAGTTATTATTGTATATTTATTTTATAAATATACATGTCCGTGCATGAGCACGGGAAAATCACCTAGTCTAGAAATACTTAAAATTTTGATTTGGTTATTTATATCTTACCTTTTTCTTTAAAATACATTTTTTTTTCTCTCCGGAGCCATTTGTTTTCTAAGCAAATCTTGGGGTACTCATCTAATTGACCCAAATAAGAAAAATTTATTAGTTTCCAACTATTCAGATTGTCCAGAGTTCAGAAGTTTTTTAAAAATCAAATAAACATTTTTATAGACAAGTGGTAGCATTATTTAGGAACCATACAAATACAATCATGTATATATTTTTTTTTTGTTGAAACACTTTTACAAATCACAAGCAAATACTTTTAAGGTTTTGAACCAAAATCTAAAACAACAGTGTAACCTATAAATTTTGTACATTTTTCACACTTAGTTACATATACCGGTCCTGACATGGGAAAGACCAGAAGCAATTTTTTAAAAATTGGCCATTTTTATAAAACCGTTTATATACCATAATAATAATTTTCTTCTAAAAAATGCTGATTTTTTCAAATATTTTTTTAGGGCCGGAAGCTGTTGCTTGTAATGCTTCCCTTCAGGGCCGGTACTACATAGAGCTCTCCTAGATATTCTTTACATTCTTTTACACTTAATTAAATAGCATCATCTTGTAAATGTTCACTTTCATTTTGATCAATAAATTTGAAATTTCATAAATTAGAAAAGAAAAACAGTGTAACCTATAAAATAGAAGGCTTAATCTTATTATAAGATGTGTTTACATAGAGAAAGTATATGTGAGGTGAGTAGGGATTATGTATTGGCTAATCTATCCTTTACATATATCTCTTTGCATACAGTTTATTTCATGAATGTGCTCGACATGTAGCTGTCTTGTACTTGTAGCGTTTAGAAATCCACAGGTACACCAAGAAGTTGAGTAAACTAAGAGCTGCAAACAGAAAGAAAAAGCAATCCAGATGTCCCCGGTTCAATTTATCCGGTATCCAACTTGGTTTACCCTTCTTCTTAGTCATTTTCATCACAACCGTAACAAGAACCGTGCTCAAGTAGTTCCCAAGCGCTTCAGTGGTCAAAGACAAAGCCGAGCAGAGACTTATCATTGCATCAGGCGCTTGGTCATAGAAAAACTCAAGCTGACCTATAAAAGTGAAAACCTCTACCCACCCAACAAGTAAATACTGAGGTATCTGCCAGAAAATCGACATGGGAATCTTTTTCTCGTCATATGCGTTGTGAGTTTTGACGTAGTCGAGCCTTACGACCTCCAAGACCCCTGCAGTGATCGAGATCACGAGACCTATTCCCATACGTTGAAGCTGAGTGAAGCCACGTTCTTGATGTGTGAACTTTCTTGCGAACGGGACAATGAACTTGTCGTAGACAGGGGTCCAGAAGAGTACACTGACCGTGGTGAAATGCGAGAGTGATTCTGATGGGATTACGAAGTGTTTCCCCATGTGTTGGTCCATTGTGTTTCCTTGTAAAACGAACAATGTGTTAAGTTGGCTGTACACTGTGGCAAAGACTATCCCTGAGGCCCAAAATGGAAGAAGAGTGATTATGCACTTGAGCTCTTCGACTTGTGTTAACGAACAGAGTCTCCAAGGGTACACTTCACCGTCGTGGATGCTGTCGGATTGACACTCAACCGCTGCTTTATCAAAAAACCTAACTTGTTCAACACTTATGTTAGAGAACCTCATAAGAAAGATGGACAAAGATGTAATTAGGCCTGACCATTTCAGATATTGGTTCAGCTTATTTTGAATTTGGATTTTTTTGGTTTTAGGGATATAGGATTCATCTGGTATTTAAGAAATTTGGTTCAGTTTGAATAATAAGATTGAGAACCGGCCGGGTAATATCTGAAATACATTTGGGTCCAATTCTTTTTTTTTTTAATAACACTGGTTTGATTAAAATGAGCAAGGTGATATAATAGTAGCAAACAATAAGAGAAAGATAAGATGTCAGTAGACACCAAACAAAACAAGGAGGAGATCGTACCAAACCCCTTTCTTACTGAGCCTCCAAAACGAGAAGATGATGTAGCCACGCTGGAGCATTTCGAGCGATATATGACTGGTATCGCCGGTCTCGTGTGACGCTTAAAGCAATAGCCGTCGCAGCTTTTTTTATTACTCGAGTTTTTTTATTACTCGAGTTAAAAGTCGGATAATCAAATTTTTTGGGATTAAGTATCAGGTTTTTGCGGATTTTCGAATAAAATTACAGGATAAATCATACAATTTAAATATTTGGGATAAAAGATATTCAAATAATTTATTTTTTCGAATATATAATATTTGAGATTTCAGGTTTGATTTACTTATATTAATAAAAAGAAATATTGATATGAAAAAACATATTTACTTTTACTACTTTATTTTTGTTGAAAAAGAGAAAAAACGTAACACGATTGGTTTCTCATATGGTTTAAGAGATTTTATTTATTTAAACCCCTTATTGAATTGCTAAAATACTGACGCCGTGATGCGATGATTCGTCTTTTCGCTAATACAAACTTCGTTTTTTTATGTCCTATCAACCCCAGAAGGAACACACTTCATAATACAAACTTTAATAACTCAAATCGCTAACCACACATTATTCTCTAGCATGCCTCATCTTCACTTGTATTTTGTTTCTTACTTTGTCTTTTTTCTTCATCTGATGATTGTCGCCTTTCTTGCTTTCTCCCAACATCGGTTTGCAGCAAGTTATCCGTGTTACTGTCTTCAGTCACTTTATCAAATTCACTTCTCATTTCCTGCTTCAAAACAAGTTCACTAAACACCAGTAAGTAACAATGACAAATATTATACAATGTGAAGGATTAATAATATAATTAATTAAAATGTTAGATGGATGTTTAAGATGTTGGTAAAATACCGGAATTTTCCCAACAATCATATGAGCTTTGTAGTAAACATCTTTGACTTGGTTTTCATCACCCCAAGCTTCCTCAAACTTGGTTATAAGATCTTCATCAACAAGCTCCACTCCTTGCTCCTTGGCCTTCATAGCAGGCTGCCAAGATTTCAAGAACCCTATGAACCCTTTAAGAGAAAGCTTATGCGGTATGTCAAGCCTAACAGGCTTTCCCTCAGATCCCATCCCTATGCTCTCAAAAGGAAACGGCAGCGTATTATAACTATCAAATGCCAAATTCATAATAGGAGTTCTAAAAGGAAGTGTGGAGTCAACAAGGCTCTTCATTATGGGATCTATCTCTGGCGAGATTATGATATCGTTGTAGACCCAAACAGCTATTAGACCACCTTCTTTACGTAGTACACGTTTTGCAACGTTGTAAAATGTGGTTAAGTCGAAAAAATGGACAGCTTGTGCAGCAACTATGAGATCCATTGAGTTTTCTCCACCGATTAGAGCTACCATTTCGTCTTCTGACATGGTTTTTGGAGTGTGATGGTAGCTGATTCTTGAGTGTTTGATCGCTCGTTTAAGTTGTGCCTCGTTTATATCGGTTGCCACCACATTCTCGTAATGCTCAACAAGCTGTGAAATGTAGAGATAGTTCTTAATCTTTTGTTATATAAAAAAATTCAAACGCAAACAGGACACATCCACCTACAGTCTTATAATATATTATGCATAGCTATATCAACAAAGCTGTTGTTTTCGTCTGGATTCACGTAACAAATCATCAACCATAAATGATGAGACCACTTGGATAAAACATCGATTTGTTTATCTTGATGAGTTCTCCCTTAATATCTTGTTCCAAAATCTGCCTAAGCTAAGCTCATTTGCTAATTGCAATAAGTTCTGAGTCATGAAATACTCCCTCCGTTTTTATTAAGTTTTTATTGTCGTTGTAGATAATTTTTTCGTTATAAAATATGTCATTTTTGGTTTTTAATGCAAAAAATATTAGTTTTATTATATAATTTTTTTATTGATTAAAATGTGATTAATTGTATAGGTAATTATGTTTTTATATAGAAAATATGTAAAATTAATTATTTTTTTAATCTGTGTACACAACTCTAAAATGACACTTATAGTAAAACGGGAGTATAAAAATATTTGTGATAGTATGTTCCTATTATTCTTTTATACTTGTATTCACTAATAACATTTTTTTAGCCAAACAAAAGAAAAACAAACTGTGCATATAATAGGTTTGACCAAAAAAAATAAAACAAATAAACTATCCATATAACAAGGACCAAGAGGCCGAATAAACAAAAACAATAAGCGTGACCGCACCGCACCCAAGTTTGACTTATCTTTAAAATAAACAAAAGAACCCTCCTAAATGAAATAATTATCTTTTTTGCTGGAATTATTAGCTTAATCTCTACATCACAAATCATACTAACTAGATCATGGTAAAGAAAGGTTTCAGGTCTTTCCAAGTCTAAAGAAGAAGATAGAGAGTTAGAAAGTGTTACCCCAATAGCAGCCTGACCGTTACCAGTTCCGACATCCCAAGCAAACTTGTGGTCTTGTGTCCGTGCGGCTATCTTCTTATACCAGTCGATCGGATATCTTGGCCTTGCGTCTAGATAAGCTTCAGCCTCTTTCTCTGATAAAGCAGCCATTATTTTTCTCTCTCT